TGTCCAGCCGCGGTGGCAAGGGAGCCGCTGGACGCCCATGCAGACGGACAAGGTCGCGCCAAAAGCAGACCAAGCGAGAGGCTGGGAGGGTGGCAGGGACATCTGGGCATCCCAGTGACGGACCCCCGCACCTACGGACCACTGTGGATGAAGGACTGTAGTCACCTTCGTTATGGACAGCGGGTGAGAACAAGCACTGCTGGTGATGTGAGTCTGGCTGTCTATATATTTTGTAGGAGCCGATGGGCTCCAGAAACGGCAGAAGAGTGTTGGCGTACGAACCGCAAAGATGGAAGCCAATGTGCAAAAAACTGAGCGCTCTGGTGATACCAACTTCCCCATAATCCGCTGACCTCCTGTGAGGGTGCCAGCAGGCTGCGAGGATCAGGCTTGGGCAAATGAGCAGCTTGATTGCTATCAGTGCAGTCGATCGATGGGCAACATTTCTAACTTCCTACCTGGTGACCATTCATCTGGTCTCAGGCGCACAATACCGCGCAGTTTCTCAATCCGCCACCATGTCCCCTGGCACGTTGAGACATGGTAGAGCGCCAAATGCTGTCTGATAGGGGGTCGTCAAGCCGCTTGAAGGACCCCACCTCCCAAGGTTCCCTGGGCGGCCCAGCGGTTCCCTGGGCCTCTCCAAGGCTCTCCAAGATTCCAAGACGGGTTAGAGGGCCACCAGAGCCGCCAAAACGGCCCAACATCGCCTCAGAAGGCCTCGAACAGCCCCGAAGAAGATCCCAAGAGGCGACAAAGGCGACCCAAGACTCCTTCGAAAGCATCAGAGAGAAAACCGGAAGGCCTTCCACTCCAAACGGGTTTTTCTAATGCGTCCCAGTGAATGCGGAGCATTTTGCTCAATGCACGTGCATTGCACGCCTCGCGTGGAATTTGCCTGTTCCGCCGTCCCGGACACGCCTGTTACCGCCTGACCTGTGTCGCAGGGCCGCCGACCAAAAAAGTGCACTACAAACGGGCACCCGGGCAAACCACGGGAGCGCCGAAAGCAAAACCTGAGGGGAGCACGGCAGAACCGGTGCCCGCCCCTGCGAGATAGCAACGAGGAGTGGCATATATATGTATATATATATATATATAAACAAAAAAAAAAAAAAAAAAAAAAAAAAGTGGCAAATGCTACAGCCTTCTGGGCGGTCCTCGACGCCTCGCCGCACCGAGCGCTGCGCTGAAACGGCGGCGGGGCCTGACACGGGCCGCTGGACGGGTGAGACCAGAAGCTACGAGGCACGCGCGACGGTCCTGGGCCCAACAAGTACAGTCGGGGCCTTGACCTAAGGAACCCTAAATAAGGAACGGGGCCCCTTTTCTCCATAAGTTCACCTTCGATTTCCCACCGAAAACCTAAGGAAAGTCCAAGGCGAACTGCAAAACAACTAAGGAACACGGAGCTCCTCCCCAACGAAAAGGGTTCCTTGTTCAGGGCCCCGACTGTAGACCCCCTTCCCCATGCCGGCCCTCTAGAATCGATCGGTGCCCCAGCAGAGGCAAAACAAAAATTGGACCGCCCATCCGAGGCCAAGAGCAGGCGCAAAAGAAGCAATGGATCCGCACTCCCGAGGCCACGATCCTCCTCGAGAAGAATTACGAGCCCGCGCTCAGGCCACGATCCTTCGTGAAATGTTTCCGAACTAAAGAGGCAGCAACCCTACAACAAAAAACGGACCCGCACCCCCGCGGCCGCCTTCCCTTGTAAAAAGCGAAGGCTCCGCGCTGTCAGGGCAGCGAACCCTCGTAGAAAGACGGCCTGCCCGCGCTACCGAGGCCACGGACCCCACTTGGAATGGAGTCGGGTGCGGACAGTGTTTAGGAGGATGGGATAAACGAAGAGACGACGAGGAAGGATCGTCCGGGGGAACAGGAGGAAGAAGACAATGGATGGCGAGGAGGCGGAAGGGGGACTGAGGAGTGCGAAGTGGGTGAGGACACGTCCAAACTCCGCCGATCCCCCTTTGGGGTCGCCTTATCCGCCGCTGGCTCTCGTGAGACAAATCTGCGACAGGCGACAGTTGCACGTCTGGAAGCACCCTAGCAGGGCCAGGTCTCATTCGACATGCGTGTGCCACCACGCGCTGACCCCCAGTTGCTGTTGGAAACGGAGCTGCAAGGAGAAAGGAAAGGAAGAGCGACGAGGAGAGAGTCAAAATGATAAGGAAGAGAAATAAGGCTCATCAGCAGTAACAGTATGATTTACTCCACTTCCTCCTGCTCATTCTTCTTTTCGTGACATACTCTTCCTCCTAGCCCTCCCCCTACACCCCTCCTCCACTCCTCATCTTTATGAATAACTCCTCCCTGTCGCGCCCCAGACCACTCGAAAAGGCGGGCCAGGCATTTCGCCTGAGACATCCCTACCATGTATGAGCCTGAAGCATAAAAACTAATATCAGCTTCACACATGGAAGGCGGGTCGCTTCCAAGATGTGGCTCTCGCCTTAGCGCCGCGCACACTCGTCGGATTGAGGGCGGGTCGTTTCAAAGATATGGCTATGGCCTGAGAGCCGCGCACATTGGTATCAAAATGTATGAGCATGACGGATTGTAAACAAGCCGTTTTCAAAATGTGGCTCTCGCCTTCGCGCCGCGCACACTCGTCTTAAACAGTCGCAAGAGCTCCATGGCTTCAGGACAGGTCGCTTTCAAAATGTGGCTCTCGCCTCAGCGCCGCGCACACTCGTCTAGAAAAATGCAAGAAATGCACGACTTGAAGACAGTTCCTTATCAAAATGTGCCTCTCGCGTTAGCGCCGCGCACTTTCGTCTTAAGAATTTGCAAGAGTTCCACTGACTCTGATGACAAACATTCCAGGAATGGCGTGCTGGAACGATTCAAGATTGCCAAGGCGCAACAATTACGCCGATTCGCGGTGTTGAAGTCCCAAGAATGGTGTATGACACGATGCGAGATCGACAAAACGAAGCACTCAGGTTGACTCGTGGCGTTGTAGTCCTTCGAATAGTGTTCTGGCACGCGTCAAGATTTTCACACGGTTGTCCCCCAACAGCGCACTCCCCTCAGTGGAAATGAACCCTTGTAGCGGCCTATGAGGAGTGAGCTTGGAGGGAAGGTGGATTCCAACGTCGTAGATGAGCATTGGGTTTACACTGGTCTTCCTCCTCCTCCTCCTCCTCCTCCTCCTCCTCCTCCTCCTCCTCCCCATCATCATCATCATCATCATCATCATCATCACCACCACCACCACCACCACCACCATCATCATCATCATCATCATCATCATCATCATCAGCATCATCATCATCATCATCATCATCATCATCATCATCATCATCATCATCATCATCAGCATCATCATTATCATCAGCATCATCATCACCATCAGTATCGTCATCATCATCATCACCATCACCATCACCATCATCATCATCACCATCATCATAATCATCGTCGTCATCGTCATCATCATCGTCATCTACATCGTCATCATTATCATCATCATCATAATAATAATACTCAGCATCATCATCATCATCATCATCATCATCATCATCATCATCATCATCAGCATCGTCATCGTCACCATCATTATCATCGTCATCAACATCATCATCATCATCAGCAGCAGCAGCAGCAGCATCAGCATCAGCATCAGCATCAGCATCATCATCATCATCAGCAGCAGCAGCAGCATCATCATCCGCCTCCTCTCCTCGTCTTCTCCTCCTCCTCCGATTCCTCCTCCTCCTCCCCCTCCTCCTCTTCCTCCTCCTCCTCCTCCTCCTCCTCCCCCTGTTCCTCCTCCTCCCCATCCATTATCCTGATCCGCCACCGTGCCTCTGGGCACGGATTGGGCGTGTCCTCAAGTCCTTTCCCTAACCCTCCAAGCCTCAGACATCAACCCCGCGGAGTCTTCCAGGGGGCCCCGACCCCAAATTGCCAGATCTCTCGGGGCTTGGCGCCGCCCCCCGCCGCTTCCCGAATGATTGTTCGGGCCCAACAGGAAGCCAGGTCGGGCCAGGAGGGCCTCCAGCGGCCCTCCAGACGGCCCAAAGAGGCACCGAGTCGCCGCACGACCACCCCAAGCCGCCCACGAGGACGCCAAGACGGCCCGAAGGGCGTCCAGGCCGCCCCGGAAAGCATCCGAACAGGGCCCCGAGAGACAAGAGGTGTGGTTATCATTCCCCCGACGTTCCAAGACGACCCAAGAGGCCCCCAGGATCGCCAAAAGACGGCCCGAGCCCAAGGGGGGCCCAAGAGGCGCCCAAGACGGTCCAGGAGAGCCCAAAGTCGGCTCCAAGAAAGGTCCCAAATGGGGGAACATGTCAAGCCTTCGGCCCTGAGGTGCCCCCAGGAGGCCCCAAGAAGCCAAGAAGCCCCCAAAGAGTCCTCCAAGACCTAAGAGGCCCCTTAACGGCCCCAGGAGGCCCCCAACAGGCCCCAAGACGCTCCCACAGAGGCGACTCGCATAATTGGACTCCCGGGAATGGTGTTCTGGTAAGACTTAGGAGCGTCAGGACGCAATTAGCCTGGAGATTCGCGGTCCTGAAGTCCCAAGAATTGTGATTGTCAACACGCAACAGTCACGTTTATTCGTGGAGCTGGCGTCCCGGGAATGGCGGTCTGGCGCGATTGAGGACTATCACACGGCTGCTTTCAAATGGGGCAATTCCCGACATGAAACAAACCATAGGCTGGACTCGACTACGAGCTGGGATAGCGATCTGCAAGGGCGCGATGTGAACGGCACGGCGTGGTCGTACGGTGAGGCCAGCGCCTCCCAGAAGCATCGGGGACCTCGATTGGCGGAACGGCGATGTCGAGGGTCGAGCATTGCCAATGTCTTCCCCGTACCCCATCCCCATACTCCCTCCTCATTTCTCATCCTTCTCGCCCACTTTCCTCTTCAGCCCCTCATCACTCTTCCTCCCTCTCCCCCTCCTCACTCCTCCTCCCCCTCCCCCTCCTCCTCCACTTCCTCTTCCTCCTCATCCTCCTCCTCCTCCTCCTCCTCCGCCTTCTCCTCCTCCTCCTCCTCTTCCTTCTCCTCCTCCTCCTCCTCCTCCTCCTCCTCCTCCTCTTCTTCCTCCTCCTCCTCCTCGCACCCAGCAACTCCTCCACGTCCCCCGTCATTCATAGTCCTCATACTTGTTTCCCTATTCCTGCTCCTATTCCTCCCCCTCTCCTCCGCCTCCCCCCTCCCAGTCCTACAAACAACGTGTTTGGTCTCCCTCGGTACTCCTCCTCGCGGTGGTGCGACGAGTACACGGGCTGGGTCTGCGACGGGTGACGAGCGTATGGAAGCAAAGGGTGGCCGAGCAACGTGGAAGAATCATGTCAGGTACGAGAACGGCGCTTATGCACCGTACCATGTTTGAATTCCCTTCAGGCCTCGCTCCAACACGGTACAGTGCACAGCTTTTTGGCCTCGAAGCCCGATAAGCTATGCACCGTACCATTCCTGGGTCGAAGATCGACCAAGCCTCGGGAGACGCCAAAGCGGTACGGTGCATGCATACCGTCCGCGGAGTCAGGACATGGCGGACACGAGGCCACGTTAATCTGCTTGGACAACAGCCATCAGCAACTGAGAACACCCGCCGACCCCCTGGCAACGACCCTTTGCATGCCTCAAATAATACGTTCTGCTTTCACCCTCATCTGTGGGGGCCAGAGGGCACCTCCCGTCGCTGAACACCAGGAAGCGCAAAGAGCGAAGGGGCCGCGCGAGCTAAGAGATCAACTCCCGAGATCAAGCAAAAGCTCGAGTCGACAACAGCTGCGACGACAGCCCTCGGCCTTCGCAGCTGCAAACGCCAGGCTGCCATGCCACAGGGGCCGCGGCGGTCGTGCGAGAACGGCGGCCAGAGGGATCAAGGAACGAGTGGGGCCCGAGCCTGCACAGGCTGCCCGGCGAACAGCCCCCTGCTACCAGGAGCACGCACGAAGACGAAGGCCGCACGACGCATCGATCTCACGATGTTCTTGGAGACCGTGGTGTGCTCTCGCGTGCCCTTCGCTCGCGCCTTGCAGACTCAGCCAGGGCGTGGCGCGCAGGGAAGCATCACCACATCCCTTCTACGGCCAATTGCAAACTGCATGTTCCGCGGGTGGAGCTGCACCGAGCTAGAGGCAAGATCGACATCGGCCGATTGATGGGTGCCGAGCTGCAGGAGGAAGAGCAGGAGCAAGCGCAAGGAGAGGAGGAAGTGGAGGATGCGAAAGACGACATCGAGGTATCTTGGCCTGTCCCCGAGACGCGGTTGCCAGATGCAGCCCCGCTCAACCCGGGGCCCGCGGAGCCCTCTGAAGCCGTGATCTAAGTTAAGCGCTCCACGTTCTCACTGGCTCCTCCGCCTCTGGTCCAACCCCTCCCCCCCCCTCGTCCACCTCCCCCTCCCCATCAAACTCTTCTCGTCATGGACAAGTCGGCCCCCGCGCACCCCAAGACGAGCCCGTGGGGCGGGCGGGGCGGTTTGCCTGAGAGGTCCTCGCCACTTATGACCCTGAGTCTTGAATGTTGCAACAGCCGCGAGGCTGGAGGGGCGGTCGAAATGGAGCTCTCGCCTTCGCGCCGCGCACATTCGTCTGAGAAGCTCGCGGCAGCTATGAAGATGGAGGGGGGGGCCTGTCGAAATCGAGCTCTCGCCTTGATGCCGCGCACTATCGTCTCGAAAGTTCGCAAAAGCTACCAGGATGGAGGGGGCGGTAACTAGTATTCAAAATGGCGCTTCCGCCTCAGCGCCGCACATCGTCGTCCTGAAAGTGAACAATAGCTGCACGGATGGAGGGCGGTTCCTTCTTAAAATGGGGCTCTCCCCTCAGCGCCGCGCGAAATCGTCTTGAAAGCGCGTAACAGTTACAAGAATGGAGGGCTGCCCCTTTTTAAGGAGGGGGGGCTCCCGTCGTAGCGCCGCGCGCATTGTAACACCCTCAAAGGTTTAGGGCGACTCCTGCTCAAAAGGTGGCTCTCGCAGGAGACTTTCCTAAACTCAACGACCAAAGAGTTGAACATGTGAAACACCTGTACGGATGGAGGGCTGTTTTCGAGCTGGAACTCTCGTCTTAGACATCCCCAAACTGAAATAACAACATGTGCCGCAGTTGCACGGATTAGGGGGGCGGTTCAATCTCGAAATGGGTCTCTCACTGGACACACTGGTAAAATGTATGATCCTGGATCTTCCTTGCAGCTCGCTGGGAAGATGCAAAGCCAATCCTTTTCAAAACGGAGCTCTCGCCTGAACGGCAGGCGCGTAGCGTGCTCGTCTTTCAAGGGGACGCTTCTTGAGGTGAAAATGCAAGATTCTAGGGGCTCGTGAGGAGAAGAGTTGGGACGGGTGTCCTTAGTGGCTCCAGGGTTCGCTCTGGTATACCTCCTCGCTTCTCCTCCTCCTCCTCGTGCTCCTCGTGCTGCTCCTCCTGAAGAGTGGTCTTGGCGCCATTGAGGATTCTCAGACTGGTGTTTTCTAATGGACCACTTCCCGCAGTGAAAGTACACTGTTGTAAGGACCTCTGAGGAGGGAACGTGGAGGGAGGGTTTACTGCAACATCGTTGATGCGTCTTGGGTTTACACTTGTACTCCTCCTCCTCCCCCTCCTCATCCTCCTCATTCTCCTCTGCACCCCTCCTCATCGTCCTTCTCTTTCTCCTCTTCAATTCCTCGTTATGGATATCTCCTCCGTGTCGCACCACCAGACGTGTCCGTAGGCTAAGCCGGGCGTTTCGCCTCAGACTCCCTCGCCAATAATGACCCTGAAATTTGTCATGTGCAACCGCTTCACAAATGGAGCTCGGGTAGTTTTCATTCAAAATGTGGCGCTCGCCTGAGCGCCACGCACGTTCGTCTTAGAAACTTGCAATAACTTCAAGGATGGAGGCCGGCTCGTTTTCAAAATGTGGCCCTCGCATTAGCGCCGCGCACATTCGCCACAGAAACTGGCAATCACTTCAAGGATGGAGACCCTTTCCCTTTCCACTTACCACCATCCGATTCAAAAACGATTCCGTTCACACCCGTCCGACCCAACCGTCTACACCCTCTTCCAGACGTCAAGTCTGCTCACACCCATACGACCCAACACTCACCACCCGATGAAAGAACACCCATACGACCCAACCCTGACCATTCAATACAAATCCGCCAGCCCCCTTGTGGGGCCACCAGGCTGCAGGGCGAAGATTCGCAGTTGGGGAAGGCCCAAACGGGCAGGTTTAGCACGCCCTGAGCGTGTGCTCTGAAGTGCTGGGGTGGGTAAAAATTGACACCCCTCACGCAGATCGGCGGGGTCAGGGACCAAAAACACAAGGGATTTGCCACATTTCTGAAAGTTGCTAGCACCCCTCACGCAGATCGGCAGGGTCAGGGTCCAAGCACACATGGGATTTGCTACATTTCTGACATTCGGTGGCACCCCTCACGCAGATCGGCGGGGTCAGGGTGCAAAAACACAAAGGATTTGCTAATTTCTGAAATTCGCTAGCACCCCTCACGCAGATCGGCGGGGTCAGGGTCCGAAAACATAAGGGATTTGCCACATGTCTGAAATTTGCTGGCACCCCTCACGCAGATCGGCGGGGTCAGGGTCCAAAAACACATGGGATTTACCAAATGTCTGAAATTCGATGGCACCCCCTACGCAGGTCGGCGGGGTCAGGGTCCGAAAACCCAAGGGATTCTCAACATTTCTCAAATTCGGTGGCACCCCTCACGCGGATCGACAGGGTCAGGGTCCGAAAGCACAAGGGATTTGCCACATTTCTGAAATACGGCGGCACCACTCACGCAGATCCGTAGGGTCAGGGTCCAAAAACACAGGGGATTTGCCACATTTCTGAAATTCGGTGGCACCCCTCATGCAGATCCGTAGGGTCAGGGTCGAAAAACAAACAGGTCCCGACACTGCTTCACGGCGGCGCCCAGACCTCATGATTTAGCTTTTGCATCTCCCATTATCCGAGACAGGGGGCCGGCGGCATGGGGCGAAGCCCTTACGGATAATATTCGGTGCACATCGATCCGACACGACCCTCACAATTTCTGCGAGAGATTCGGTGCACGCCCAAACGACCCAACCTTCATCATTTTACGTCCAAGAATGAATACGGTGCACACCCATCCGACCCCACCCCCACCTCCCTGAGCCACAAAATACAATTCGGTGAACATCCATCCGACCCATCCCGCACCACCCTATGTAAAGATCGGATTCGGTGCGCTTATGTTTTTGGGAGAGAGGGGAGATCGGACACAGCGACGACAACAACCTCCGCAAGCGAGCGCATCAGAAAGTGTGAGACAGGCGGGCTGGGGGCGGCAATGCGGGCAGCTATCAAATTGGGAGAAAAGGACGAGGAGCCTCCCATGTGTTCGAGATCGGAACTAGGGATCAGGTGCGCATCTGCTGATCTTCAGCATCAACCCACCCCCTGGCCAAAAGAACCCGGCACAAAAAAAAAAAAACGATTGCAAAACATTGGAAATCGATATGCTTCGGGCAGCCGTCGCCGACTACGACTTGGGACCCAAGCGCTCCCCGGACTGCCCCAGGCGCTCCCAGACGCTCCAAGTTGCTCCCAGGCGTTCCCAGACGCTACAATCCTCCCCAAGCGTTCCCAGGCTCGCCGTCGCAAACAGGAGCAAATGAATTCAGATCGCGTTGACGCGTGGACCACAAACGGTTTTCACAATGGGGCTCTCGCTTTGCTGGCGCCGCATACCTCGTTTTACACAACCAAAGAACAGGTAGAGGGCGGGTCATTTTCAAAAAAGGGATTTCGCCTGGGCGCCGTGCATACTCGGCTTCAGAATCGTCCTCGGCTGCGCGAGAGGATGGCGAGTCCTTTCCAAGACGATGGGGACAGATGAACCCTTAGATAAGAAATCCAGGGTCTCGAAGCCAGTGGAACTCCAATCGCGGATCGGCCATAAATATCACCACCACGGCCCTCGTCAGATAAGGAATCCTCCAGGGTCTGCAGCCTCATGGGCGCATTCCTGAACGAACGCCCCCACCTTATTGGGATCTCCCCTTGGCCTCGCGCACATTCGAATACAAAGTCGACCGTCTACACTCACGTGACCCTTCCTCGACCTCTACGACCCAGTGTTCCATATTGCGCAACAGCTAACGCGGATGGAGGGTGGTTCCTCTTTCAAAAAAAAGCTCTCGCGTGGGACTTCCGCGGAGCATGCGTCCCCGACTTTGATATCCTGCAACACTTGAACGGATAAAGGGCATGTGCATCTCAACATGGGTCTACCCTGGGAGTTATTCAAGTGGAGAAAATATCCTTTACAACAGGCGCCCTCGTCTGACTGGCGGACCGACCGGCCGCTCGTAATACAAACAAGGGCACCTACAATTGAACGGAAGACTTGCATGGACTGGTGAAAAAGGGGCTTGGGACCAGAGGGTGGTGTTTTGCAGCATCGGTTGAAACATGTTGGGTTTATTCTGGTCCTCATCCACCTCCTCCTCCTCCTCCTCCTCCTCCTCCTCCTCCTCCTCCTCCTCCTCCCTCCTCCTCCTCCTCCTCCTCCTCCTCCTCCTCCCACTACTACACCTATCCTCCTCCTCCTCCTCCTCCTCCTCCTCCTCCTCCTCCTCCTCCTCCTCCTCCTCCTCCTCCTCCTCGTCTTCCTTCATACTGACTCTCATCCAATATCCTCCAATATCCTCGCTCCCAGTCCTCCCGACCCCTCCGCATCATCCTCCGTCTCCCACCCCATCCCCTCGCTGCCAGGGCGCAATCCCCCCCTGTCGCGGGCTGCCAAGCACTGCCGCGCTCACGTCGCGATGACGTCGGCGTTGGTGTTTCTGCCACCGCGTGGATCGAGCAGCCCCGAACGATCGCGGCTTCCCGAAAGCGCTCGGGTGTTGCTAGAAGTGTGCCTGGCCATAGGTGCCCCCAGGAGTTCCAAGGCGGCCTCCACGGCCTCCAGAGCACCCCTCACGAGGCCCAGAATGCCCCAGGGGATCCCAAATTGGCGAAAAGCTGAGGGCACCCTGGGCCAGGGGCACCCTTAGCGACCCCCGAAGCGCAGAGCGTCCGATACTCCCGCTGCAGCGTGGGCCCTATGTTTGGATCGGCGCTGTACTCCCGTCGTTCAGGATGGTGCTCTCGCCCCAGCGCGGGCAATTTTTCTATATCCGAATCATTTGTCATTGTTGTCGTCCCCCTCCTTTTCCACTCCTCTGCCTTTCTCTGGTCCTCCTTCTCCTTCCACTCCTTCCACTCCAGTTCCTACTGCTGCTGTTCGTCCTCGTCCTCCTCCTTGCTCATCCTCTTTCTCCTCCGGCTCATCTCCCTGCTCACCCGCCACCTCCTCTCTCCTCCTCCTCCATTCCTTCTCCTTTATTGCTAACTTCTCCCTGTCGCGCCTCGAGGCCAGTGCTTAGTGCGGGCGGGGCGTTTCGTCTGAGATTCCCTCACCACTTGACCCTGAAGCTTAATTATTGACAACAGTTTAACAGACGGAGGGGGGGCCGCTTTCAGAATGTGGCTCTCGCCCTCACGCCGCGCACATTTGTTTGAAATCTGTGCAAGAGTTTCACGGATTGAGAGCGGGTCGTTTTCGAAATGTGGCTCTCGCCTTAGCGCCGCGCACATTCGCATGCAAAATTGCTAGACCTTCACGCATTGAGGGCGGGTCGTCTTCCAAACGTGGCTCTCGCGTTAGCGCCGCGCACGTTCTTTTCAAAAAATGCAAAACTTTCACGGATTGAGGGCGGGTCGTTTTCAAAATGTGGCTCCCGCCTTGGCGCCGCGCGCAATCGTTTTAAAGTTTGAACGAGATTCACGGATTGAGGGCGGGTCGTTTTTTGAATGTGGCTCTCGCCTTAGCGCCGCGCACGCTAATTTTTTAGAAATTGCAAGAGCTTCACTGATTGAGGGCGGGCCGTTTTCCAAATGTGGCTCCCGCCTTAGCGCCGCGCACATTCACCTGCAAAATTGCAAGAGATTCACGGATTGAGGGCGGGTCGTTTTCAAAACGTGGCTCCCGCCTTGGCGCCGCGCGCAATCGTTGTAAAGTTTGAACGAGATTCACGAATTGAGGGCGGGTTGTCTTTTGAATGTGGCTCTCGCCTTAGCGCCGCGCACGCTAGTTTTTTGAAATTACAAGAGCTTCACGGATTGAGGGCGGGCCGTTTTCAAAATGTGGTTCCCGCCTTAGCGCCGCGCACATTCACCTGCAAAATTGCAAGAGATTCACGGATTGAGGGCGGGTCGTTTTCGAAATGTGGCTCTCGCCTTAGCGCCGCGTACATTCGTCTTCAAAAATTGAAAAGGGCTTCACGAAGTCCCATGATCAAAAAAACAGAAATGGGTTTGGGGAAAGAATCACGATTACGAGGGTGCAACAGTTACGCTGATTCGCGGTGTTGAAGTCCCAGGAATGATGTTCTGGCACGATTCAAAATCGTCAATACGCAACAGTCAGGCTGATCCGTGGCGTTGGAATCCCGAGAACGATGTGTTGGCATGCTTCCGGGTCTTCAAACCGTTGTCTTCCAACGAGGCAGTTCCCCTAATGGAAATGAACCGTTGTAGGGGCCTGCGAAGAGGGAGCTTGGAGGGAGGGAGGGTTTATTCCAACATCGTTGATGACTCTTGGGTTTCCACTGGTCCTCCTCCTCCTCCATCTCCTCCTCCTCCAATGGACGACGCAGCTCCCCTTTTCTCATTTCGCATAACACGATAGGGGTCTCTTTTGGAGCTCCATGTCGGCTATGACCCGCGTCCGCGGGTAGAGACACAAATCAGCGCAGTGGGAAGGAGAAGGCGCGATCGCGCCGGGCTTGCCCCTCCTCCCCTCCCGCCTTCCTTCGGGGCCCGCGCAGCTGGGGTCGGCGCTGACGGGGGTCAGTCGACTACACGTAAGAGTGACCCTAGGCAAGAGTGACCTTTGGTGCGCGGGCTTGGGGGACCTCGAGGGGCCCAAATCCAAGCGCGCGCGCCAGTGCTGGGGCCACCCCTGTGAGCCCGCACCCGAAGGTCACTCTGGCGAAAGGTCGCTCTTGCGCGTAGTCGAGCCAGGGGGGCGGGAGTGGCGGGCTCCGGCCCCCGGCGTGGGCACGTCTGCGGCCGGCGGGTCGGGCGGCATCGGGCAGCGCAGCACGCGCCTCAGTGGGAAGGGATGACTGGGAGGGGCAGGATGCCAGATGTGGCGCGGTCGCACCCAGCTTGCCTCTCACCCCTCTCCTCCCCTCTTACCTCCGTTGTCGCTGATCCCCGTTGGCGCCGACCCCCGCTTGAGGGGCAACGATAGGGGGGGGGACAGGCTCAGGGGGAGAGACATCAGCCTAAAATCGGCGACACATCGCCGAAAGATCCGCGATGGGCCCCCGAAGGCAAATCCGCACGACCCTGGGCGGAGCGGGTCACTGGGCACCCATCGGCGAAGAGTGGCCCGAGAACCCACGAGAGCGCGCGACAACCCCAACACCTTCGAGCCCCTCATCGCTGCCCCGATCGGCTCCTAAGTTCGCGCTTCGCGCTGCGCGAAGCGCGAAGCGCGAATAACTTCGCGCTCTCGCGCCGCCCTCCCAAAGGGAGAATAGGAGGACGAGGAGGAGGAGGAGAAGGCACGAGGACCGCGAAGCGCGAAGCGCGAATAACTTCGCGCCCTCGAGGGAGCCCTCACCCCCCATCCTTGCCCCGGATGAGCGCCCCTTCTCCCCCCCCTGCCGAATCTCCCCCCCTCACGTTGCCCCACGACCGCCGCGCGAGCCCCGACGACGTCGGCGGGGCCCACCGCCGGCACGTGGCCGCCGGGCTGCGCCCCGTAGTACGTCGTCGCCGCGGTGCCTCCGCGGCGGGGGGCGCGCGGACCGCGCGAGGCAGGGCGCGGCAGGGCGCGGAGGGGAGGGGGCTCGGCGGATCCAGCGCTGGGCCGCCGGCCGGCGGCGGCGCCGGGGGGGGGGGAAGTTCGAGGGGGAAGCTCGGCACGTCCAGCGCTGTCGTCGCTTCCCGGAGCTCTTCCGAGCTCCGAGCTCCGAGGCTCGGGGTCCGAGGTCCTCGGCGTGTTCGTTGCTTCTCGGAGCTTTTCCAGCCTCGAGGTGTCTTTTGGCGGCGAGCGAGGGGGGGAAGTGAGAAGGAAAAGGCCTCCTCGGAAGGCTCGGAAGTCCCCGGGGCTTCTGAGAAGCTTCCTGAGCCTTCCCCGAGGACCGAACAAAAACGTCTCGCAAGGCGCGAGGGCTCCTGAGAAGGCCCGCCGCCTTCCGAGAAGGCCTCCTCCTTCTCACTTCCCCCCCCTCGCTCGCCGCCGTGTCTTCCAGCAGCTGTGCCTCGCCGAAGGCGGCCGAGGGCGCTCTGGGGGGATGCCCGGAGCGTGCCGGATGGCCGCCGGGCAGGCGGCAGGCACGACACGAAAGAAGGACCAGGCGACCAGGGGGGGGGCGTGGGCCTATAAAAGATGCCGCCCAGAGAGGGGGCGGAGGACGGGGATGGGGGAGGGGGAGGGGGAGGGGGAGGGGGAGGAGGAGGAGGAGGGGGAGGAGGGGGAGGACTGGGAGGAGGAGGGAGGAGGAGGAGGAGGAGGAGGAGGAGGAGGAGGAGGAGGAGGAGGAGGAGGAGGAGGAGGAGGGGGAGGGGGAGGGGGAGGAGGTGGAGGAGGAGGAGGAGGAGAGTACAGAGGAAGACAGAAACGGCCCCCCTGGGCCTATCGCCCCCAACGTTGCCCATGAAGGCGGGGGCGAGAAGGGAGGGCCCAGACCCCCTCGCGTCGTGAGAGGATCACGTCGGAGAGGTGTTGGCCACTCTCGGCCAACGGGGGCCCTCATCTGGGTTCCTGGGGCCATCAACACTCGGCCCGACTGCACAAACGGAGCGGTAGGGCGGAATGGAGGAGAGAGAAGCAAGCGAGATGAACAATGAACACCTGGTCGCCGCAAAGATCTGATGCCGACTCCATGGTCTGCCTCGGTGGCCACGTTCCTCAAGGAAACGCCACCACGGCCGGGAAGATGGAGGCAGAGCAGACCGAGGAGCTGGGCTGCACTCAGACGCAGTTCGTCCCGGGCGCCGCTGCATTCGAACATACATCACGACCCCAAGGTGCTCGGTCCACAGCGGGTTGCAGAGGAAGCAACCACGCGCCCGCACTGGCGGCCACCTCCACACCATCATATGTCCCCTTTCTCTGCGACTCGGGCATCTGGACGCACTTGGCACTACCGAACAGTCTAGATGCCAACTCAACGTTGTGCTCCGCTGGACACGGTCCTGAAGGGAGGATGGCCACCACGGCAAGGAATATTGAGGCAGAACATCCTGATCAGCTGGGCTGCACTCAGCCGTTGTTCGTCTCGGACGCCACTGCATTCGAACATACACCACGACCCCAGAATGCTCGGTCCACCGCGGGTTGCAGAGGAAGCAACCGCGCGCCCGCATTGGCTGCCCCCTCAAACCCAGCATCTCTCCTCTGGACTCTAAGGAAACAGGCATTTCTTTGACATTGCAGAACACTCTAGATGCCTACTCCATGGTCTGCCTCGGTGGCCATGTTCCTCAAGGAATCGCCACCACGGCCGGGAATGGAGGCAGAGCAGACTGAGGAACTGGGCTGCACTCAGCCGCGGTTCGTCTCGAGCGCCACTGCTTTCGAACATGCACCGCGACCCCAAGGTGTTCGGTCCACATCGGGCTGCAGAGGAAGCAACCGCGCGCCCGCCTTGGCCACCACCTCCACCCCAACATCTCTCCTCCTTCTCTGCGACTCGGGCATCTGGACTCAGAAAGCCGGCAATCCGCCTCTGTGCCTCTTTTAACGGGCGAAAAACGGTATAACATAAACTGTTTCGCTGTCGGGGGCGCCTGTCCCAAGGCGGCTGGAAAGTTTATACCCTTACGGTGGCACCGTAGGGGTATAAACTTCCCAGCCGCCCAGGGACAGGCGCCCCCGACAGCGAAAAAGTGTATTTTATACCGTTCTTCGCTCGCTGACTCTTAGCACGTTGAGGCGTGGTAGGATGCCAAGTGCTGTCTGGTACGTAGGACCGACGTAAATCTTCCAACGTAATCGTTTCATGCATCTTTCAGGAGGGGAAAAAACACACAGGCACAATTATCGACGCTTTCCAAGGCGGCCCAGTCTGAAGGGGCCCAAGGACACACAGATAATACACACAAATAGAATAATCCCTCATGTTTTCGCATATTTTCTGGGTTTCTGTCTTCCCGCCCACCTCCCATAGTTTCCCATGTTTTCTGGGAAATCGAGGATTAACTGTGTCTGTGTGTTTCTTTTCCTCCTGAACATATCGCTTCATGCAGCTTCCTCGCTTCCCGATGCTCCGTGGGCGCCCCGACACTCTCCTGGCGCTCTCCAGTGCGTCCAAGATGCCCAAGATAACTTCCGAGACGGCCCAGCCAGGCCACCAAAGCTGCCAAGATGGCCCAAGATGGCCCAAGATCGCCTCACGGCGCCTGAGACTATCACCTCCTAACGCTGCCCCTGACGAGCCATGATTTACACACGACGCGAGGGGGTATAGTTTTCTGGGCATCACTGGGGCCCCCAGCGGCCGTTCGGGACGACTCGGGTACCCCCGAACGCCCTCGACGAGGCGCAGCTGCAGGGGGGAATCCCCGGGCGAGAAAACCTCCATGAATCGACGAGACCGCCCGAAAGCCCAATGGATCCTCCGTCGATCATGATATTTTCAAGACGCGCCCGACCCACCCCGGCCGATCACGCGCGTCATGCCTTGGGACGCATTGAGACGTACTAGTATTGCGCGTCCCCCTACAAGGGGATTTTCGACGAAGAATTAGAAATACTCCAGAAAAACTCCAATAATGTTTTCTGTACAAAAGAAAAACAAAACAACAAAAAAAAAAAAAAAAAAAAGTCCCCACACTACTATTTTTGAATATTCCCCCTGTAGAGGGACAGACCCGACATAATGCTAGCACTGTGCGCCTCTGTTGGAGGCGCACGTCCGACCCGAGCATGTCGCTCCCCGAGCGGTATGGCAGGACAGCGCCCGCCACGGAGCGCATGCAATGAGATGTCTGGGCGCGCGCGTCGCGCCTGGCGGGGCAGCGCACCCTTCCTTCAAGTCCGCGGACGCAAGCACGCAGGCGTCGGTCGAGCAGCAGGAGGGGCGCTCCAGAGACAAATTGTGGCACGAGTGGGGAGGACAGAGGAGGAGGAGGAGGGCGCGCGGGGAGCGGAGGCCGCCCTCAGAACGTGAAGCCCAGAACTGAAGTCCAGAAGGGGGGGGGCGACGCACACACAGTATGAGTACGGCAGCTTCGCGTCGTGTCGACCCTGGCGTTGGTTCCTGACACCGCGGAGGTCGGTCAAGCTTGAACGACCGGCCGCTCCATTAGCGCCGGATCGTTCAACTACGGGCCGACTCTCGGCCACGAGCGGCGCTCAACCTGAAAAGCACGCGCAGGGGTCGCCGCCGGTCGACACGACGCGAACCTGCCGTATGTTTTGGGCGGTGCCGACGCCTGGCATCCCCGTCTGCATCCCCGTCTGCATCGGGTTGTAGCCCATCGGGTAGCCTGGCGCGCGCCCCGCGGCCCCGCCGGCGCGGGCTCGGGCCGAGGCACGAGGTGCCTCGGAGAAAGGCGCGCCGGCCCCCCTGGGTGCTGGCGTGGGAGAGGCCCCCGCATCAAGACCCTCCCCACGGGCGGAGGGGAAGAAAACGGTGACCATGTCGTAGGTCAAGCGCGGAAACGTCGGTGTCGAGGTTGGTCGTCGTCCATCGTGGTCCCCGTCCATTCGTGGGCCACCCTCGCGAATCGGCGAGGACCGGCATGGACTCGGACAAAGATAGGCGTCGACGAGATCCCGCGACATCTTGGTCATGGTCATCGTGCTTCATGCCTCGAATTGCGTCGACTATCGTACTGAAGGGGTTAAGTAGGAGGCAACTCCTGGGAGGCCTTCGCAAGAACGATTGAAGGCTGTCGGGCTCGATTGAGGGGACACTGAGCCGGACTAGTCCAGATTCAGCCCAGGATGATGCCAGGTTGAGCCAAATCGAACCAGATCAAGCTGGATCAACTTGGATCAAGCGTGACTAAGCCAGTTTTCGACAACGGATATACCAGCGCCGATGCTGAATCGAACGTCCCAGCAGTTGCATCCTGAAGGGGGCGCCTTCGTGGAGCCCTTGGGAAGGCCAGGTCAAAGCTTGGGAGCCCAGGGCCCTGCAGGCAGGGCCCCTTGGCACGGGCCGAGGGTGGCCAGAGGAGGAGCGAAATCATCGAAATGCATTCTGGAATTCATAATAAATGAGGATTCACAGCCCTCCCAGACGAGCAATTGCAGACCCCCACCAGCCATGAGAACGAGGCCTTTTGCGCAGACCCCCCGAATCCTCCCAGACAGCTCAAATCAGACCCCCCCCCCAAATCAGACCACCACCCCTTTATTGTGAAAGCCGGAGTAATCCGCTGGCCCCCTTTCGGGGGCCAACGGGCTGCGTGGTGCACGCTGTCCATTTCCCTGCACCAGTTCTGGCCCCCACGTTATGGTTAAAGATCTTCTGTTTTCGGGTTCCACGGTTGTACTGGTTCAAGTCCGCCGCAGAGGGCGGGGGAGGAGGGGGGAGGGACGGCGAAAAGCAGTCAGTCCCCACCTCTAAAATCGCGTGCCCTGAACTTCTGGGGCAGGGACACATAAAAGATACAAACAAGCTTGCGCCCCCGAGGCCACGATCCTGTCTGAACTACGACAAGCTAGCGATCCCGAAATCCTCCGCAATTTACAAGAGATCGCGCTACCGAGGCCACAATCCCTTATCGATTACACCACATTCGCAGTCCCTGGGGCATTTTCGCGCTCTCCAAACCACAGTCCCTCATAAGCAACGCCAGATTCGCACTCCCAAAGCTACGATCCCTCAGAAGATCACGCAAGGCTCGCGATTCCCGAGCCAGATTCCATCGCAAATTACAAGAGCGCCGCTCCCGAAGCCATATTCCCTTGTGAATTACAAAAAACTTGCGTCTCCGAAGCCACCATCCCTTGTAAATTACACAAGGCCCAATTATCCAGCAACAACCCCCATCTAAAATCCGCCGAGCCGGCGTGCGAACTACAAGGAGCCTCAGCAAGAGCTTCAGCTCTGAGCCTAAGCAAGAGCTTCAGCTCTAGTTGGGAGGGATCGCCGGGGTGGCTCTGCTGGGGAAGGGGGGGAGGGGGCGGGGGGGCAGTCCCCCATATGGCGTTTTCTTTATGATTTGCGCACCCCAAAAATGTTTCGGGGGGTACCAGGGACACCCCCCACAGGACTCTCCCCTCAGAACCCTCCCCAGACCCCCCGGGGAAGGGAGGGGGGGGGACGTTCCCCCATCTGGCGTTTTCTTGATGATTTGCGCATCCCCAAGATGTTTCGGGGGGTCCCAGGGACCCCCTCAGATCTAGCCGCTACCGCCCCCAGGACCCTCCCCTTGGAACCCTCCCCGCCCCCCCCCTGGGACCGCTCCAGGCACCCCCCCAGAGGGCACGTCAGCTCCAAAAAGCGTCCCGCAACTCCAAGAGCGCCCTCCCTCCCAAACAGCGTCCCCGGCGACTCCAAGATCACCGAATCCGGAGCCCCCCGGATTGGCGGCACTGGCCGGAAGCATTACTATACGCCAGCTTCGCGCTCCCGAGGCTACAACCCATGGTAAAGTACACAGGATGTGCGCCCCCGATGCCACCATCCCTTGTAAGTTATGACATGTTCACGCATTCCCTTGTAAATTCTGCCCAGAAGCGCCACCCACTCCCTCCAGAGCAACAAACAAAAAAACTGCATGCACACCGACCCTCAATAATTAATACAGACGCGCGCAAGCAACCAGCTAGCTAACAGCCAAGATCATTTGCGCCTTAGCAGTTCAAACACTAAGCCAAAAGGCCAAGTTGCCAACCAGCCAACCGACAAGAAAACCAACCAACCTACCAACCAAGCGTGGCCATCTAGCAATCTGAAGTAAGGACCAGCGGAAGAGAGCGAAGCCCTTCAGATAAAAAAACGACCAAAGGGGGAAGGAGGAGGACGATGAGAAG